GGTACTAAAAAAAGTACCAGGTACCAGGTACTGTACCCAGTGGAAAACCCCCCAAAAGTGAACCGTACCGTGCTGTACCATGCAGTGGAAAAGCGCCATTAGTGTAAATCGCATCTGTCGCTAAGAAAATATGCTATTTTCACAGTGTAAATAGCATCTATTGCTATTTGCGCTCAAATAGCCGCTGTATATATATATATATATATGTGTATATATATATATATCCATGTAAAATAAAGCAGCTTTTTATTTATTATTTTTATTAATATATTATATTAATTTTATTATTATCTAATTACTTTGTACAACTTTTTTAGTAATGAAAACTTACTGATTGTGCCCCTTTGGCATTTAATCATGTAATCATATGTCATATTTAGTGTAATAAAGTAAGTATCAGAAATCTCACCTAAAACTGCTGTCACTTCAGTATCATGGACCACAGGTGTTTTGTCATATGATTATGGATTGCGATGAGTGTGTTGTTGTTAGAGGTTGAACAGGGCAGTATTGGAGATGCAGACAGCTGCTGTTTGTTCATAGATGTTTGCTGCGTGCCGGATTGTGATGCAATCTGATTCTGAGCTGTTGCTAGGTGACGGCTCATGGGGGCTCTGACGTCTGCGGCACGTTGGCTTGTGCTCCTGTGACACAGCGTGCGTCGCAGGGAGCGGCTCCACCAGAACCAAGGCAGCTGGAAGATGGAGAGCGACATTTTCATCCACGGTCTCTCCATCCTCCCTTCCGCTTAAATGCACATTCAGTTTAACTGTGAGGATTTTGAGAGCAGCCTGTCAGTGGCTTTAAAGCCTCGTCTTTGTCTTTGACCCCTCCTTACCATGATCAGGCTGTTACGCAAGCATTATGCAACCTTAAAAAAATTATACAGGATCAAAGACATGCTGTTGATGGTTTAGTAGCCGCAGTCTCATTTTCATCATCACAGTTTGGTTTTCTTTGGGTTTGCGTCATGTTTATTGTCTATACAGTAGTCTTTCCTCTTTTAACGTGTAAACTGGGTGTATTTTTTATTCCTATTTCAGTTTATGCAGAGACATTTCCTAAAAAGTATAAAAATACAAGTCTGTGGGGCTTTTATTTTATTTTGCTATAAGATAAAGCATCAGAAGGACTGAAATTGGACTTTCAGTAGAATCAGACAGCATACAGCTTGTGAAAAGGGTGTGAACCTTCAGTGTTTTCAGTAAGGTGCTAACACTCTCGTCTGAAGCTGCCTCTCTATGCTAAAGCTTCTGTTTTGTTTTTACCAGAAAGATGAAAAGTCACTGTTCTTATCCTCCGTAGTTAACTCTT